TCTTTCTCTCTCTCTCTCTTTCTCTCTTTCTCTCTTTCTCTCTTTCTCTCTTTCTCTCTTTCTGTCTCTCTGTCTCTCTGTCTCTCTGTCTCTCTCTCTTTCTTTCTTTCTTTCTTTCGTAGTGCTATTATTATTCAAAATTGATGTGTGTTTTTATCATAATTTTTTTATTTTTCTCATTATAATACATTAGAATACATGGATGGAAATAACAACGTATACAGAGACAGCGGGAGGTTAAACTACAATAGCTTTCTTCACAGCCACATCGCACTGCAGGCTCATGTTTAGCTTGTGATCAACTTAAACCATGGTGTGAGAAGAGCCAGTGTGGTGTAGTGGTTAGAGTGCTGGACGAGGATTTGGGAGAACCCAGGTTCGAATCCCCACTCTTCCACGGAAGCTTGCTGGGTGACCTTGGGCCAGTCACTATTTTTTTGGCCATCAAATCATAGCCAACTTAAGGAGACCCTTCTTGGGGTTTTCAAGGCAAGTGCCTGCCTCTGCGTAGCAACCCTGGGCTTCCTTGGAGGTCTCCCACTCAAGTACCAACTAAGGCCCACCATGCTTAGCTTCTGAGATCTGATGGGATCAGGCTAGCCTGGGCCAGTCACATACTCTCAGCCCAGCCTACCTCACAGGGTAGTTGTGAGGACAAAAATGAGGCATGGTGTAAACCGCTTTGGGGACAACAGTGGGGTACAGATGAAGTAAAATAAATAAATAAATATGCTGTAGCTAGGATCAACTCAGATCAGAGAAGCTAAGCTGGGTGAGCCCAGGTCAGTAGAAGAGAAGAAGAAGAGGAGGAGATTGGATTTATACCCCCGCCCTTCACTACCCAAGGGAGTCTCAGAGCGGCTTACAAACGCCTTTCCCTTCCCCTCCCCACAACAGACACCCTGGGAGGTAGGTGGGGCTGAGAGAACTCTTGACAGAAATTGCTCTTTTTCAAGAACAGCTCTTATCAGAACTACGGCTTGCCCAAGGTCATCCAGCCAGGTGCAAGTGCAGGAGTGGGGAATCAAACCCGGTTCTCCCAGATTAGAGTCCACTCAGTGGCAGAGAAGAAGTTGGATTTATACCCTGCCCTTCACTACCCAAGCAAGTCTCAGAGCGGTTTCCAAACACCTTTCCCTTCCCCTCCCCACAACAGACACCCTGTGAGGCAGGTGGGGCCGAGAGAGCTCTGACAGAAACGGCTCTTTTTCAAGGACAGCTCTTATCAGAACTATGGCTTGCCCAAGGTCATCCAGCCAGGTGCGAGTGGAGGAGTGGGGAACCAAACCCGGTTCTCCCAGATTAGATTCCGCGCACTTAACCACGACACCAAAACTAGTACTTGGATGGGAGACCACCAAGGGAGTCCAGGGCTTTGACGCAGAGGCAGGCAAGTAGCAAACCGCCTCTGCTCGTCTCTTGTCCTGACCTGGCTGGCCCAGGCTAGCCTGACCTCCTCAAATCTCAGAAGCTAAGCATGGTGGGCCTTAGTTGGTACTTGGATGGGAGACCACCCAGGAAGCCCAGGGTTGCTACGCAGAGGCAGGCCTTGAGGAGCTTTGTGCAGAGTGCTGGGAATGGTAATGATGCAGGAGAGATCAGAGAATAACGAGGAGAAACAGAAGAAACCGAAGAGGCATCCCCGGGCCCCTTACCTGCATACGGCTGCAAGGCAACATTCAGCAGGTCCTTGCTCCCGCATTCGGGTCCCAACGCCCCGTTGTAGCCTGCTGCCCGGGCACCGAACATCAGCCGGCAGGTCCGCTCGCTGGCCGTGTTGTTGCTGAGGACGGCAAAGATGTCGAAGTCGCACCCGTTGTTCATGCCCTCGGAGACCTTGATCTTGACTTTCAGGCCCTCCTCCGCCTCCGCCGGGTAGGTCTTCCGGAGGTTCACCTTCTCCAGGACGGCCCTTTCTTCCTCGGAGCCTGCCGGAAGGAAACCACAGCCATGGCAGCCCCATTGGTTTATGTGCCAGGAGCCGTACAGGTTTAATTCGAGTAAGCTTTAACTTGGTGGTGGTGCTGCAGCAAGAATCTTATTGGCAACTTATTGGAAACTTCCATCAACACCTTCGGAACATGGTTTAATAGCAAAGATGATGGAAACTGAGGAAATGGATAAATTGATCTCTATGCTACAAGGGCAAATGGAAGAAGATTTTGTTGGACGATGGACTCCATTCTATAATCGGATAAGGGATATAATCAGATATAAAGATATGAACTTTTTAATAATAAAATATTAAGAAGACTTTATGAACCTTTAAATCTCGCGGTTTATCTGTGCATAACATGAAATTACAAGTAGAGGAAAGTTACATGCAGGAAACTATTGCTTTTATCGTTTCCCCTACCCCTTCACCTTTTCCCTTCCTTAAAAAGGTAAAGGTAAAGGTTTCCCTTGCTCAAAAGCTAGTCGAATCCGACTCTAGGGGGCAGTGCTCATCACAGTTTCCTAGCCAAAGATCCAGCGCTGTCCTAAGACTTCTCCGTGGTCACGTGGCTGGCATGACTAAACGCCAAGGCGCACGGAATGCTGTTCCCTTACCAAAGTGGTCCCTATTTATCTACTTGCAATCTCTAGCTTTTGAACTGCTAGGTTGGCAGGATCTGGGGCCAGAGACGGGAGCTCACTCCGTCATGCGGCACCCGGGTCTCGAACTGCCGCACTACCGACCTTCTGCCCTGGAGCTCAGCGTCTTAACCACTTGAGCCGCCCTTCTCTTCCTTACCCCTCTGTATTTTAAAAACTTAATAAAAAATTATTTAAAAAAAATACTTGGTGGAAGTGGAAAGTGCCATTGAGTTGCAGCCAGTTTGGGTTTTTTCGAGGCGAGAGACATTCAGCGGTGGTTTGCCCTCGCCTGCCTCTGCGTAGCGACCCTGAGATTCCTTGGTGGTCTCCCGTCCAAATACTAACCAGGGCTGACCTTGCTTAGCTTCCGAGATCTGATGGGATCCAGCGAGCCTTGCCTATCTAGGCTTTAATTAATTTATGTAAAATGCTTCTAACACACTTTCTCCCTGAAACGGGGCCCAAAGGAGCAGGACACACAGATATCTGCCAGCTGTCACAACCTCCCCCCCCCGGGGGGGTCTGGAGGGGTCATCCAAATCCAGCACATAATATGACCCCTCTCTGTCGAGTCATAAGGTCCCAGCAGCTGACCAGGCTGCCAGGATGATGATGATGATGATGATGATGATGATGATGATGAT